GTTTATGGCAACGGCTTTTATTAGGGTCAGTGGCTCGAGGCCGAGGGGGGTAACCTTCTGAACAACTCGTACAAGAGTTAGCTTCCCAATGATTTTCTGAGCTTGGGGTGGGGTGGGGGCTCTGCCGTCTGCACCCTCTTCGGATTGCTGGTAGAACTTCACCGAGATGTAGGGCCCTTCGTATTTTGAGGGATAAGCCGTCTGCCGTGCGTCCCTTCGAGGAAGGACGAAGTCAGCGGATGTGACGCTTCTTCAGTTGGGGCTCCTCGAAGTCCTCTTCATCGCTCAGCTTCCCAATTTCATGCTTCTTCGTTGAGGTGTCCCCTTCCTGATTGCCGGTGGAGTTCCTTGGGGTAACTTTGACAAATTGGTGGAGTTCACCCCGTTGAATCAAGCGCTCAATGGCTTTCTTCAACGCGACGCAGTCGTCTGTATTGTGGGAGGTGTTCCTGTGGTAACGACAATAAGTGCCACCCTGGTGGACGGCGTAGACTTCCATGGCCGACCGGGGATCTTTAGGGATGAGACCTTGCTCCTCCGCATAGTCGAAGATGGTGTCCACCGAGTGCGTGAGCGTAGTCCTCGGGACGTCCGTCCTCGGCTGCCATGGGCGCTCCTTCCGGTTTCGGCGGGCATGGCCCCCGGCCGAGGATGCATTTGGAGCCGACGCCTCGTCTGACCTCTTTGATGGTTGGCCTACGTCCTTCTTGCGGGAGTGGAGCTCATCGGCGTCAGCGTACAAGCTCCCTCGTTGGAGTGCCTTGGTGTATGACTTCGGCGGGTCAGTGATGAGGCTCCTTGCATAGGGGCTGCTGCGGAGAACGCCTTGGAAGAGGACGAGGAGGGTGCGCTCATCGGCACCTTCGACCTCGTCTGTCTCCTTCGTCCATCGATCGATGAAAGACCGAAGTGATTCATCGTGTTGCTGCTTTATGGAGAGAAGGTGGGAGAAATGTTTTCTCACGCGCTTCCTTCCGGCGAAGTGGGTGAGGAAGCGTTGGGCAAGATCCTGCCACGAATCTATGCTTCCTTCGGGGAGCGCGTTGAACCACTCGTACGCTGGCCCTTCAAGAGTGGAAAGGAACCAACGGCAGAGGTATTCATCTGATGCGTTCACCATTAGCATGTTGTTTTGATAGCGACTGAAGTGCTCCTGAGGGTCAGAGCGACCGTCGTAAGACTTGATGGCGTTCCCCCTGTACTTTTCCGGGATGGGGGCCGAGAGCACCCTGTTGGTGAAAGGGGTCATGGTCCTGACTTGGATGATGGGGTCACCTCGCCCTTCGGCCAACTCCCTCTCCAGGGCGTTGACCTTGTTCATGAGAGCGTTGAGGCCGGGGTCGTTGGAGGCGCCAGCCGTGGGGGTGTTGGCCGACTGCCTGGCCTCCATCTGAGCCAGCCTCCTTTCCAGCTGGGCAATGACCTCGTCCCGGGGGTCCCTGGCGGCCGCAGCGGCGCCCTGCTGGTTCCTCATGCGCTCTTCGTGGGCCGCATTGATCTGGTGACGCACGTCGTCCTCGTGCAGCTTCCCCTTGCCCTTGTCCGGGCGGGGCTGGTCCGTTGTCCGGGACACAGACCCCAAGCTTTCCCTTGGCGAGCCAGGCCGACGCTCACCAATCCGCCCTGCCATCCTCTCCGAGACCGGACGACGGCGCGTGTCACCTAGCCTATTGAAGGCAGAGGCTTTTCCACGCGCTGGGGTCTGCCCAGGCCGAAGAGGGGAAGCGGGGTGGGAGTGGGACGACGCCGTGTCCTGGGCCATGACCCCCTCATCGTTGCCTATATGGACGGCCAACGGTTGGGGCTGAGGAGGTGGAGTGACGTTCCCCCCGGTCCCTGGCAAGAGAGCGCTGAGGACGGTGGGGTTCTGGGCCAAGCTGGCGATGATGACCGACAGCGCGGCCTGGACCTGTGGATCCACAGACGGAGAGGCCGCGGCCATAGGCTGGGCCGGGGCGTGGTCTATCTTCTCAGCTCGTTTCTTGTCCAAGCCGATGCGGGCATCAGGGGCTCCGCCGTTGAGTTGGTTGCAGAGGTCCGTCGTGAGGTTGATGGCCTCCTGGAAGACGTCCCCTCCGCCGACTTGGTCGGCCGTAGCATCCTCGTCATGTTCCCTGGTCTCCTGTTCCGCAGGGATGGCCTTGCTGACGAGGTTGCGGTTTGACCTAGTTCTTCCCATGATCAGTGGTTAGCCGTGCTTGGTAGCGACGAAGGGTGTTAACTTGATTGTTCTAGCTCTCAACGAGAGCACCAAATGATAGAGTATTAACTCCTAGATTCTAGAGAGAAGGGAGAGCTAGAGAGAGAAGTGAATTGTATTAATGAATTTTTTCCACCCTTACAACTACTCCCAAGGGGAGTATTTATAGAGAAAATACGGGCTGGGCTCCCAAGTCTTGGGCTTGGGAGGCCCATCTACAACTGGACCGCTATTGGGCCGAATACAAAGCCACTGGTGGGCTATACAAATGAATAAGTGTAAAATCCGGTTCTGTGAGACTTCCGTGGCCGACGAGGGCATGGCCGATGAGGGCATGGCCGATGAGGGCATGGCCGATGAGGGCATGGCCGACGAGGTCACCCAGTTCTCCGGGCTTCTGGATCATATTCTGAGTAGACCTTTTCATGGCCGATGAGGTCACTCGGTTCTCCGGGCTTCTGGATCATATTCTGGTGGTCTTCTTTCTGGCCGATGAGGGCATGGCCGATGAGGTCACCCGGTTCTCCGGGCTTCTGGATCATATTCTGGGTGGCCTTCTTTCTGGCCGATGAGGGCATGGCCGATGAGGGCACCCGGTTCTCCGGGCTTCTGGATCATATTCTGAGTAGACCTTTTCCTGGCCGATGAGGGCATGTCCGATGAGAGCATGGCCGATGAGAGCATGGCCGACGAGGTCACCCGGTGATCGTGGTACCTTCTGTTCTTCTGAGTATGTGGGTCCTGGGGCCTAGACCCATATACTCCATCAATTACCTTTCGGTTTTTCAGAATGAGAGTGAGAGGACGAGTTGTTTTCTTTAGAAGCTTGTTGACAAGGAGGTTTTGAAAATTTGTCTTTAGAGTCAGGAGAGGAGGTAGAATCTATGTCTGCATAGAGGTTGTTCTTTTGCAGAGAAGAAATTTCATTTAAAAGCTTTTCCTTTTCTTCTTTAAAAACATTTCTTTCAGTTTCCAGAGATGTGTGAAGATCAACAATTTTCTTAATGATCTCTGGAATGTATGGTTCAGAAACTTTAGATGTGGAGGCTTCTTCCTCATTGTTTTGTAAAAAGGCTGTTTGTTCAGATTGACCTCTCTTGGCAAGAATGTCCTCTAACTTCTTGATTCTTGAAAAAAATGACCACGTTCCTTGTTAATAATTTCAAAACGAGTAACAACTTCAGAACGTTGTCGTTTATTTTCATCTAGTTCCTTAGTTAAGTCACAGACAGTTTGCTTAAGCTTCCTAACTTCATACTCTAAACTTGTGACCTTATCATGTGAGTCTTTCAAGTTCATATTTAGAATTGCTCCTTCATACATTAGTTTTTCAAGAACTTTTAGATTATTTGTTTGTGTCTTCGAGTTCCTTAATTTTATTGGAATAAGAAGTACTTACCTGAAACTTGTCAGATAGCGTCACTGATCCGTTGCTTGAGAGCATTGATGAATTGGAGTGAGAACTCATTGATGTTCGTCGGAGAGGGATCCTTCAGAGAATAGCTTTGACCAGCTTTGAGCTTTGTGAGGAAAAAATAGTCTTTAACCTTGAGATTTTTTTAAATCTCAAGGTTGACTCTTGGAAGCTTTGACTGCAGCGTTGAACTTTGGTGTTGAAGATTTGAGCTTAAAAATCGAAATAGGCTCAAAACTAGCTCTTGATGTGGAAGTTTTTTAAAAAAGGGAAAAGTACACTGTACATACCTGTGGTTGTGGCCATTTGCAATCAGGGGTCTGTGATGAACTTTGCAACAAACCCAAGCTTACGCTACGTGGCACTTTTTTTTTTTGCTTACGTGGCTTTTAACCCCAATCTATTAACACCATGTGTGATTACATGGCTTTTTATCCCTAGTCCATACCATGTTAACCTATTTGGACCATATAGGCATACGAAATCCATTCCCCTCTTCCACAAACACAAATACAAATTTGAAGAGATGAGTTCTTCTAATTCGAGCTCCTGTGCGATGGATGGAAGACAACAAATCAAGAAGTGCGGCTGTGGAGTCTAAGCTCCTATTTGGACGGCGACAACAGAGAAGAACCGGGGGAAAAAGTTTCATGCTTGCGGCCGTTATTCTCGAGGGGGCGAACAACAATGCAATTTTTTTGAGTGGGTTGAAGAAGATAAGTGTTGTACTTGTCTGCATAACTTAGATGCTGTTATTGAGAAGGTCAGAAGACTTGAAGAATATGTCCAGATGAAAGAGTTGGAGATGGAGGGTCAAAAAAAGAACTGTGTGCATGAAATTGGTGTGTCGAAGGTTCAGAACATGGAACTGCAACTGCGGATGTCTAAGAATCATAATGTCACTTTTAAGTGGAAGCTGCTCTGTCTGGCCATGTTAATTTTCATGTTCTTTGCAAGTAGAAGATTTTAGGTCTAAGTTCTTTGCTAAGTTTTCGATGAAATGACCAAACCACGTGTAATTGTGTTTGGAGATTCCTTTAGTTTAATTTCATGTGAGGCGTTTTGTTGTGAGTGATGTCCAATGTAATGCACCAATGTAAGAACCTTGTAAGGGTTGATGTCAGATTGTATGAAGTTTTTGGCTGTAACAATTTGTGTGAACTTGTTTAATGTTATAGCAGTTTATTTCTCCACATCTTCTTTTGGTTAATGTTATAGTAGATATACTGGGAGTGCTGTGAACTTCTTTAATGTCATTGTGGTGTTACAGAACAACTTCTTTTGGGTATGAAATTCTTAACCCAAAATATTGATTCTGGCTTTACCTAAAACAGAACATATGGTTTGAGTAAACAGATTACCAAAGTAAACAGATACTTTCCATCCAACACATACGAAATTCATCCAACAAATACTAAACTGAACATATACCAAAACACTGACCTACAACAACTTCAGAACATATGTTAACCACAAAATATGTTCCTTACATATGTATCATTACAAAACACATGCTTACTAAGGCATGATTTAAAAGTTCATATACTGATATCTAAACATGTCTACTAAAGCACCATTCTTCTTCTCCCCACAACAAAACTGCAACATTTCTGGTCTCTTGTCAGTTAATCCTCAACTTTGTGTGCCCTGAAAAAAGTAATAACATCATAATAAGTGTAAAAACAACACATTACAAGAGTAACAATGCAGACCATACAATTACCATTGAGGGCTGTGTACTTGAGGACCTAGTCACTCTTTTGGAAGATGGTTGGGTTGGTTGTGAAGTGCTGATTCTCCTTTTCTTCTTTGTTCTTCCTCCAGTGCTTTGGGAAACCGGATCATGGGTCATGGGAGTTGTCAATTCACTGTCATTATTGGTTGTCTGAAGTGGCTCATGGGAGGTTGGTTCAGAAATATCATCAACACCCTCTGCTTCTGTTTGGACATTTTTTTTCTTTCCTAATCTCTTTCTCCTTTGCCATGGTGTTTCTCCAGTTATGGATGTCTTACACCCTCTAACATTGTGTCCCACTTGCTTACAGTTGCCACAAACCACCTGCTTACCTGCCCTAGACACCTTGAAAGGATTCCTTGTTTCATCAGGTTGTTTAATCCTCTTCTTTTTTGGTCTTCCTGCAGGTTTTCTAGGGATTGGGGGCACAATATCTGGACTCTCTATCCTCTCCCACTCATATTTACTTGGTAGAGGATGGATAATGTGTTTATACACAGCTAAGTAGGTGGATTTAGCATAAAAAGGACTTACATAGTCTTCAGGTTTTTCTTGGTTTGCATATATAGCAGACACTCCATGCTTACAAGGGATGCCATTTAAGTCCCACCTTCGACATGTACAAGTCCTGTCTTTTAGATTAACCACATGGCTAGTATCATAAAAATCTACCTCAAACAATTTGTCCCCAGCAGGAGTGGAAAAACAATTCCTACTTTCAAATTTAAACTTTTCAAGTAGATCCTGCTTATTAGGACATATTTCACCCTTATATTTCATCATGGCAGTGTACTTAACATGAAACCTAGCCATTAATCTTCTTCTAATCCACTCAACATGCTCAAAATATGCATATCTCTTGCTCTGAGTATGTAGGCATTGAATGACTCACAAATGTTGTTCTGAAGAGCATCAGAATGTGCTAAGGTTGAGAAATGGGATCTGCTCCAAGTACTTGGGTCATACTGCATAATCCAGTTGTAAGCAGCCTCATCAAAGCTCTTGATGCCTTCCATTTGCCTCTGCCATGACCTCAGACTTCCAGTGCTAGCTGCAAACCATAGTTTTTTTTGTATCCAGGCCCTCTAAATATCTTCTTGCAATTCTCATACATGTGCTTCACACAATATCTGTGCTCATTTGCAAGTGAAACAACTTTAAATGCTTCAACTAGTCCCTGAAACAAGGTAGCAATTAGAAACAGTATATGGAAACAACAAAATGACTTATTTAAGCATGATATAAGTACACATTTTTAACACACGTTCTGCTTGTCTGACATGAATACCCAATTAGTTTCTTCTGGTCTTCCAAAATCTTCAAACAACACTTGCAAGAACCAAGTCCATGAAGCTTTGTCTTCACTATCCACATAAGCTATAGCAAGAGGAAACATGTTTTCATTTCCATCCCTTGCTACAGCACAAAGCAGTTGGCCTCCCATTGGTGTTTTCAAGTGGCACCCATCTAACCCAATTAAGGGTCTAAGACCTGCAAAGTAACCCTGCTTCTGAGCACTAAACCTCATGTACATGTATTGAAGCATTAGAATTTCCTTGGGTATTCTTGGTACACCCTCTGCAGCACCACCTTCTTCATTGACATCCCTAGCTTCAGTTTTGATTATTACAAGACTCCCAGGGTTGTATTTAACAACAATTTCTGCATAATCCCTCAACCTCCTATATTGTTCTTTGATATCTCCTTGGATCTTTGCCTTTGCTTTTCTTCTAGCTCTGTAACACTTTGCAAGACTCACCTCTGCCCTTAACTGTCTTTGAACTGACTTTTGCATAGCAGTGACATCCCACTCAGGATTTTCCCTCAACTCATCCATGTACTTTTTTGCCAAATAGCTACTAGTCACCAAGTTGTTTCTGTTACTAAAAGGGCATTCATGTTTGGGCCTGAATATTTTTATTTGGAAGGACCCACATTCTGGAACTTTTGATGCATGAACCCTGAATGAACAAATGTCCTTGTTTTTGCAAACCACAGTGATTTTAGATCTATTGTTCTTCACAAATTTGAATTCAAATCCACCCTTGACTGCCCATTCCTTAAGAGCATTTCTAAAAGAGGTATGTGAGGTAAATTTCAAACCTTTGGACAATTCTGGATTTGTAGCTCCTGTTTCTTCATTGAACTCTTCATACTTTTCATCACCATCTTCAGATCCTACAATGCTATGCAAGTCATCACTATAGCATGGACTTTCATTAAACTCCTTAAGCTGCTCTTCATTCAGATCTTCTGGAAAAAAGGGGTTTGGTTCTGAAGGTTGGTCTGGACCTGGGGGTGGTTTTTGGCTTAAACTTGCAGCTCCATGATTAAATACATCATCTTCACTCCCTTCTAGGTCATCATATAGCCAGGAAGCTTCACTGAGATTGGAATTGGAATGGTCATGTGAAGCACTTTCAGATCCACTTTGATTCACATAGTCTTCATCATCCTCATCACTCTGTAATTCAGTTTCAACAAATGTAGTGGATTCACCCACAGATTGGTCTGCTTGTCGAGCTTGGTCTTTATTTTGTAATTGAGTTGGGACTGAAGTGTGGGCTTCCTGTGAAGATTGGGTTGTTTCTTTTGCTAAAGTACCAACCACCCGTTTTTTACTTGTGTTTGCAACAAAGTACAAGTCAATGTGTGGGTCCATTATGTTACACACCAACATGTCTTGAACATCTTTATCACACACTATCTCTTGCAAGGTGACTGGTCCACACAACTCCCTAATTGAGAATCTTCTAAACCACATTTTTACCCCATTTGTATAACCCAAATCTGCTGCATATCCCTCCAATTCGAACTTGCTCACATAGTCAATGTCAACTTTATCTTTTTTCAAAACATGGCCTCCCACATACTTTTTCTTTTCTTTTGGACAGTCCCACTTTCCACCATGGTGAATTAACAAATTCACGTACTCACTCATACCAAACCTGCACATACATTCAATGCGGACAAACTACACTTCAATACCAAAAAAGAATGAAAATTTAAACTGCAACACAACCTACACATACCCATTAACACTTCCAACGAACCCATTCGCACATTAATTTACCTACCAACCAGGTTTTCCAACAAGCGTCACACCCTAACCAAAATATGTAAACCAAAGAAACAATTATTGGAGTACTTACTTTCACGTGAAGACTCTAAGGACAAAAAACTACAATTCCATCTGCCAGTGCTTGCGTTATTGTCCTTTGTCTGCTTCGACCAACAATCTTTGTTCTTTCCCAACCGGAGGTGTAGAATCGAATGGGAGGAAGAATTGGGTTTTCTTCAGCCCTGATTTCACCTAATTGTAATTGGGTTTTCTTCAGCCCTAATTTCACTTAACTTTTGCATTTTTAAGTAATTAAAATAATACATCTTCATTGGAGCTTAGTTGGAAAAAAAAATGCCACGTAGTGTATTACTAACGGCCCAGTCGCTTAGACTGTAACACCCGGCCCCGTAGGCCCCGAGGTAATTACTTTTGATCTCTAATACTGTCCTCACAAACCACCACAAGCCTTTACCGCGCACTTTGTCTTCACTCATGCGCGCCCTGAGAAACTTCCCAGGGGGTCACCCATCCCAAGACTACTCCCAAGCAAGCACGCTTAACTTTGGAGTTCTTAGCTGATGAGCTTCCTTAAAAGGAGATACACCTCTGTTGGTATGAGTAGTACTATTAATCCATTTATATTAAATCTCAAGTGTTACAATCACCCCCACTTAGGATCGCAACGTCCTCGTTGCGCCCTTAAACCAACCTGAATCAAACCCCAGAATCTTTTCCCCTATTAGGTGTCTGCCCGATATCCAACGGATCAGCACACTGTCGTAGGGTTGCTCTGATACCATTTGTAACACCCCGGTCCCGTAGGCCCCGAGGTAATTACTTTTGATCTCTAATACTGTCCTCACAAACCACCACAAGCCTTTACCGCGCACTTTGTCCTCACTCATGCGCGCCCTGAGAAACTTCCCAGGGGGTCACCCATCCCAAGACTACTCCCAAGCAAGCACGCTTAACTTTGGAGTTCTTAGCTGATGAGCTTCCTTAAAAGGAGATGCACCTCTGTTGGTATGAGTAGTACTATTAATTCGTTTATATTAAATCTCAAGTGTTACATAGACCCCGCGGGTGGTAACGGTAGGAAAGCACAAGCTTGGATTTGTTGCAAAGTTCATCACAGACCCCTGATTGCAAACGGCCACAACCACAGGTATGTAAAGTGTACTTTTCCCTTAAAAAAATGTACTTCTCCAAGTGTAGGAAAAAGTAAGCTTGATAACTTATCCCACACCTAAACTCCTTGGAAACTTTTGAGCCTATATATATGGAACACTACTTTATTATCAAAGTGAGAATGAGAAGAGGGGAGCTCACGCGCACATGGGATTTCCGCTTCCAGTTCCAAATCGAAAATTCGCACCCTTGTGCGGGCGACCTGCGAACACGAATGCCGGAAAATTTAATTAGTCTCAAAAGAAAATTTAGCTGGTCTAAAAAGACACGTAGTACATGAGGAATTGATAATTTAACAATTCAAACAGCTGCCATTTACACCCATCTCAAAAGCTCTAAACCCTATTTCCTTTCTTCTTTCAAAAATCAAACTTGCAACGTACGTACATTCTTCTCAGCGGACAGCGGCTCTGCCTCTCACTTAAACCTTAGCTCTATTCAGGGGCGGAGCAAAGGGGGGTCAGGATTGTCAGCCGACCCCGCTGAAAGTTTGAGAATATAGAGCTCTGAAATTTCTTCGATTTGATATATTATGGCCCTCGTAACTCATTACAAGTAAAAAGTCATGACTTATGGAAAATCAACACTATTTAAACGTAAAATCAGCAAAATTTGATGCATACTATAAATCATTTTTCCAAGTTTTTAAAAATAGGGTATAATTCACTCAATACTTATGTGACACGACTCAAAAACAGAGCAAAGATAATATATCTTATTGCTACGAGTGCCTATTTATCTAAACTGCATATAAAATATTCAACTCAGACATTGTTTAAAAATGATTCACCATTTTCATTTTGTATATAGGTTGAGTTTCGACCCCCCTGAATTGCTTTTCTGGCTCCGCCACTGGCTCATTTGAGGATTTTTTACCTCTGTAACATTAAAGCTTTAGTAGACAATAGTTACTAATTATTGCTATAAGCCTGTAATTCATTTATTGTTCAAAATTATTATTGTTTAACAATGGAAAAATCAATCTATTTATTTAAATACGTATTATTTAATTTATACGTGGATGAAATTGCAGGGCAGTAGTCAGTAGAGGACCAGCGCTAGAAATCTGGAATTCACATTCACTCAACTTCTCAAGATTTTATTCATTTCTTTTTTCTTAAATTATTAAAGTCTAATTAATATTATTTTTAATATTGTATTTTTTAATCTCTAGTACTTAAATGTACTTCACATTTAAACAACTAGTATTGTAGTTTTACTTGTATGTTATTAGTTTTATATTTGTAACTAGGGGAAATAACAATGACCAATTTTGAATGTATATTTTTTTTTGCGTTTTTCAGTTAGTACATTATGATATTAATATTGACATATTCTAATATTCATATTTATAATTATATTTTGATTTATACATTTTTTGTAGATACAATGTCCATGTATAATTTTGTTGCTCTTACAAGAGCAAGTCGTGATGTAATTCTTAATGAAGTTAGCGGGTCTTGTGCTTTTAAACAACCTCACATTGAGGTCAATTTAGATGATTTGCCCACAGACCCTGGATTACGTCCAAAAATTTGTAGTACCTTTTCTTTTACGATATCTATATATTTTATTTAGCCTTTTTTAATTCATGTAATATAATATTAGTTTTATTTATGTGCATACATTAAGCTCCGATGCCTAGATCCGCCACTGCCTAGGCTTGTGGCTCCGTATGAGCTTTGTGTGCGCCGCTCCCAAGAATATTGACGCCGACTGAAGGGCAACAAGAGTGCTCACTCAAGGCTAAAGGTGCAGGAGGCTTTAGAACTTTGTCCGTCAGATAACAAATAGAAATTAGCGTAGAACTGGTCTTCTCCCTAGCTTTCGTCTAGCGTTTGTCTTTCTGACAAGCGATTTGCGCCGTTTGTTGTCCGGTGAATGATTTGGAGTGACAGTGAAAGGGCGGTCGTTACCGCGCTTTGCCTCTCCATAGTCTGCTTCTCTATGATGATGTTTCTAGATATGATGCTATGCATCTAATCTGAAGGTTTGTGATTGATACCTTAGATTAAAAAATCGTCTAGCAATTTTTAGATCAAATTATGAGCAAAAGAGAAGACAGATCGGTGGATCGCCCCCCTCCTAAACCGCATCCCTAGAGCGACCGAGGTGCTAGAGTTTGGAATATTATACTTCAAGAATACTAGCAAGAAAGAGCTTGGAGTATTTGTCAATTATTTTATTTTTTATGGTTTTACTTTCGTGTTAAATTTGTTTATTTTGCTCTATTTGGTGTTGATGTCTTTAGCTTTAGGTCTACAATAAGGATTGACAATTCTGCTAGATATTACTCCCCCCGTCCCCCAATTAAGTTCTCACTTTCATTTTTGGGCAGTCCCACAATTAAATTCACACTTCCCCACTTTCCTTATTTGGCAAATTATTTACATCAAAAGAGTGTCAAACAGTGCCAAACAGTACCCAAACATTGCCAAACAGTGTCGAAACAGCAAACTTTATCCCCTAGTAATTTTATTTTCTTAATATGTGTGAAATTCATCCCGTAACTTAATTGCGGGATGGAGGGATTATGTCGTTAGAAGAATCTATATGGCCAGTAATTACTGTGTCATACCCGTTTGGTGGTTGGCGATTCGTATTGCTCTTTCAGGGGTGATCGTTTCTAAGTCTGGTCCTAAGGTTGATAGTGCTAGTTGGTTACAGATAATTGTTGTCAATTTTGATCTCTTTGAGTTTGTTGGGGTTTAATGTACCAAATCCCCATATGATATGTAAAATCGGCGCATTAGCCTGATAGCCTCTATGATTTAAAAAATGCGTCAAACCGCTTTGTGTTTTACAACCTCCGTCCAACTAAGATTGGGACAAGAGAAGGTGGCACGATTATTAAGAAAAATGGATTTGTGTGGTTGATATTAAATTGATAAAGTAAGAATAAAGTAAAAATGATTTAGAGCCGCACAAACTTTACCAAATTTGGTATGTGACAATCTTAGTGGGATTTCCCGAAAAGGTAAAAGGGGACAATCTTAGCGGGACGGATGGAGTAATTAATTATGCGCAATTGATTTTGACAAATAAAAGAAAAAAATTAATATTTTTGTATGATTTAGAGATTTTGACATATTTACTTGCATATTCAATCAAAATATTAGGAAAATTGATTTCCAAATCGTTAAAATTATTGATAAAAGGTCTTTTGTGCATTACTCCCTCCGCCCCATAAAAATTTTCTCACTTTCCTTTTTGGGTCGTCCAAAAAATTCTTTCCACTTACCATTTTTGGACAATTTGTATGGTTCACATTCATTCATCGTTTTCTTACACAACCACAACTATACACTTCCACTTTATTCCACTTTCTTAATCTCCGTGCCAAGTCAAAGTGAAATTTTTTTTATGGGACCGAGGTAGTATTAATTAAAACACAAGGAAGTTTGACACATTTTTTAAATCATAAGGGACTAATACGTTGGATTTCTATATACTCCCTCTGTCCCTTATAACTTTGCCAACTTTCTTTTTTTGGTTGTCCCAAAAACTTTGCCACTTTTCTTTTTAATCAATCAATTTGTGGTTCCTGCAATTTCTCTCTCTTCTGCACAAATCTCTATCACACAATTTTTTACTTTATTATTCTACGTGTCAATTAAACTTGTGGATTCTTTTAGGGAAGGAGGGATTATATCACAAATCACAATGAGTTTGGTTCATTGAACCCGAGTTTGTTGCAACTATCCGGATTGTAATAGCAAAAAAAAGGGCGAGATAAAAAGAAAAATGGACCACGGCTAATCGCAAACCCTTCCCTGCCGATGGAAGAACATAAACAAGTAGAGAGAGAGAGGAGACTTGCATGAGGGCGACAAATGCTGAATCGGAAGGAGAACAGATGTCCGTCCACCATTAATGGGCTTACGACACACTTCGGTCTCAGCAATGGCGGACTCTCAGTCAGAGCCGTTACGCTCCAAACCTGCCAGAAATCCCGAGCCTACACTCTCACTCTTCCGTTCGCATCCTGTTTCGATACTATATAAGAGGGTTAGGCTCTCTTGTTTCTGCTTCGTCCAATCCGCCCTAATTAAACCTGTTTGGTAAAAATGGCCATTGAAATCGTTCGGATCTGCGCTCAGCTTCTTCTTAAGGCGGTGAACTATCTGATAGGCTTCACCGGCCTTGCCATCCTCGCGTACACTTACCGGAGATACTCTCTCGCCATGGATAACAGAGGTAGCCCAGATGATGATTCCAACCTTTGGTAAATTTCTGCTGTCTTCCTGTGCACGATGTTCTTGCATTCCAGTGAATATTTTTTAGCTAAATTTGGAGTTACTGTGGTGGATTGGTGGTTTTGGGACTGTATATGTTTCCCGTAGTAAAAAAACACTGTATTATTTTGTGGAGTGATTAAGGGAATGTGAGGACATCTTTACTGTAATTTTCTCGGATAGTGACTCTTTCTGGTGCATATGTGAACTAAGTCTTGATTCCATCAATCATGATTTTAAAATTACAATCATGCTGTGCTAATGTTTCTGGTCAACTTCTTCTATACTATCATTGCCTATTAAACTCTTCTGTTGGTATATATGCACAAGTTCTTAGTAATGACTACCAATCTTTACATTTGTATTCCAGGTTCTTATACACCTCTGTTTGTGTTGGCATAGCTTTCTGTTTTGTGGCTCGTGTAGGCCACGTTGGTGCAGTGACTACAAATAAAACATGTTTGGCCTCTGTATCCTCTATATCGAATATGCTTATGTGTGTGCTTTAGATGTTACTGACCTTTCTTCTTAGAATGTTGACTCAAGGGCCACAAATACAAAACTTACCCTGTTTGAACTACTTATCACAGAAAATAATGCCAATAAGTACCCAAATATGAATACGGATAGAGCATTAGAGCAAAGTGTTACTGATAAAGAATGAGAGGCTCTCTGTTTTTTACATGTCACATTACTTAAAGTCGCCATTTTAGCTGCTGTGTGCAACTTCAGTCCAATTTTTTAGCAGAAAGTGTGATTGCAAGTCACATTCCTTGTATGCTATTCTTATCCAGCATATATGGGAAGTAAATATTTATCATCCCTTCATTAGTTTTCACAGTATTTAATGTTCAATGATTAGTTAAAGTGTTAAACAGAGATTGTGCATCTAATGGCTTCATTTATGTTCAACTATCTAGAGCCACCGATAGTTGTTAGAACATAATTAAATTGTTTTTGTAAAAATGCTCGATGTGATCATCTTTTTTCCTTAATTGGTATAGTATTGTGCTTTGATGTTTTCCCTTATCCTGACGGAAGTTCGCCTATTCTTGAACGAAGACTGGAGAGAGGTATTCAAATTTATTCTGCACTCTACATATGAAATAGCACCTCAATGTATTATATCTTAACAAAATTCTTGGTTGCTGGATTCCAATCCGTTTGGTTGAATCAGAGTTCACCCAAGGACTGGACTGGAGGGGTTGATGAGATTAACACTTTCATTGCAAATAACAATGAACTTTACTTTTGGGCAGGCTTTTTACTGACGTCTCACCATGTAACTGTCTCTTTTCTCTATCTGATTCCAAACGGGCTTCGTTCCGTGTCTGATTAGTCTTACATGCACCAAATAATGTCTCATTATTGAGTTACTTGTAACTTCCTACTATGCAATTATTTTTCGACGTGCAGTCAATTTGTGCAATTCTTGCACTGATTCTCTATGCCATTGTTGAGTCCATGGGCAACAATGGCGATGACCCAGTTCCAGAGAGAGCCCCACTCTTGCCAACTTATATTCGCAGTACGCCGTTCCGTTGGTAGCATAGGTAAATCTAATTATACCAATGTATCATATTTTAAAACTTGTTTGGGGCACCCTTCTTTTGGAAATGAAAGTACATCAATTACAACTATAATTAGATTCTTATGTTAAATTATTAGCACTCTATTCGTATTTTATTTTTGGGATGAATTGAAATAAGCATTAAATTCATCACTTCAGCCCAGTACATTACATGCAGGTTATTCACTGACAAGTCTTGGCCTTTGAATGCATATATGGTAACTTGGACTTATGTATTGTTGGTTTTATTAAAACCAAAGATAAATACATAACTTTAAGAGGTTCATAGCCGGGCAAGTGGATATGGCACATCCACATGATAGGGTGTTTTAGCATGCTTTTCCAAAACAAGTGTCTCCAAAACAAGTATGTACATCTATCATTTTTTACCAATAGAAAAATCAATAGTTGTACCTTACGAAAATGAAAAAGTTGTACGTTGTTGGAAAATGAATCTTTTTATAGACGTGAGGATGCGAGGCTGAAATACTTTTCAACTTCTTGGAACAGTTCTATTTATTAAACACTGAAGTTTTTACTCTAATTATGTTGAGGAAATTTCATTCATTCTGTCTCGGTTTATTTTGCTTCTGTATTTCTAAAAACACTTTAGGTTCGTTTGGGATGAGGGAAATGTGAATGAATGAAAGTAGGAAGGATAGGTTTAGAGAAATTTGGAAGGAAAGAAGATGTAGTGGAAATTAAAACAATGTGTGAGGCTCACTAAATTTATATTAATTGTTTGAGTTTATTTTGTTTATGCTATGAATACTACACAACCTAAAAACATATGTAAAATTTTCGAAAACATCAATCAAATTCTATTTTCCCTTATGCATTATCTGAGGTAAATTCTTCATCACAAAATAGTTATTCATACATTTTCTTTCTTTTCCCTATTTCCCGAGTCCAAAACAGTCTGTGTTTTTATGGTAGATCAAAAATCACAAAACTACATGGGGTGGGCATCTTGTTAATTATCTTTTTGAATGTTCAAGGAAACATCCGGAAAGGAGACTGTACAAGAGGGGAGGAAGGCTTTGGAGAAGTGCTATTTAAGAAAGCTCCATGTTGATCAGCTCAAGAACTTCAGCTGTGAAGCTAAACAAGTAACTCTGTCTGTGTAGTTGAAACACTTGTTGACGGCTATTATTCTGCCCAGACAAGTGCCTATAGAATGTATATCGATTGATGGTTGGATTAATACCCAAATGGTTTTAGATTACGTTTGTATTAGATGCTTATATTACTAGACTAAATCCTGAGCCCTTGCCGCTGTATTTAGTACCTTCAAAGATGTTGATATTTATATTATACAAATGTTCAAGTTCTTTGGCTGTTCTTCAGCATAAAAAATCATTTTACCGAATGCCTTGTGCCTAGTGATGGACCCGGGCCGGTCCGGTTCCGGGCCGGGCCCGGGCGGGCTTTTTTTGCAATTACTTGGGCCCAGAACCGGCCCAGGTTGATACCGGGTCCGGGCCTAACCGGGCCGGGCCCGGTTCCATGTTTTAATTTTTTTTTGCCTTTCTTGTTATCCCCTGACCCCCCCACCCCCTACCCCCAAACCTCCCCAAAACACCCAGCCCTACCCTAGGAAAAGAAAAAAAAATTGAAAAAAAAAAATTGAATCGGGCCCGGCCCGAACCGCCTGGGCCAGTTCAACAAAAGTTGGACCCGAGCCCGGCCTGCCCGACTCGCCCAAATGGGCTAAAAGCCCGAAACCGGCCAACCGGTCCCGGTCCGGTCCGAGCCCGCACTGTAGCGGGCCGGGCTGGTTCCGGACTGGCCCGGCCCAGTTTAGTCCATCCCTACTTGTGCCTGAACAGAAAGCCGTCCAGACAAAAAATGTTAATACGGGATTCTTATATTCTTGTTTGTGTGAGAGTGAGGCTGGCGAAAGTGGTCATGTCTGAGAAGGCCCAAATATATGGATGTATCCACAGGAAGCTGATATTATAGCTTGTTCAGGTTCCGAAATGGGGCGTCAAGAGGCGGATTCCAAGAATTTTTAAGGTAAAGGGTGCCAGAACTTGTATTAATAGATCATTCGCTAACTGTCAATTGTCATACAATTATACTAGTGTAACATCAGGGGCATGCCCCGGTAGTGTTAATTTGATATGAGTCAGATGACAAATACTAATAAAAATTGTGAACTATTCATATGATACGATCGAAATTTTGGCTATAATCGATTTCTTTTACTCCGCGTGTCACTTTATATTTATACATGGTAATGTTGATAGAATAGATAGAATAAAAAACATCACCACTGATCATAGAAACAGCTGACTGCTTTTACAGGAACATGAGCCACCTTTGAGATACTAAATACTACCGTCCCAAAAAACTTTGTCATTTTCAAAACTTTGCTCGACTATATCTTTTTATTGAAAGTCATTTATAATATAAAAATTATATGAAAATGTTCTTTATTAAAAGTACTTTCATAAAAGTATTAAATTTATAATTTCCTTAATATTATACTAATCAAAATCAATGTTCAATTTTTTTGAAATGACAAAGTTTTTTGGGTGAAGCCTTAGGGGAATTCGAATGTTGGCCGATAACATTCGAATTTACCGAGTATCTCAAAAATACACATTCAAAGAAATGGGTCTATATTCCTCTCACATTATATAATAGTACTCCCAAATTATTTGTCACTTTTTTGTTACACTCACTATTCATGCGTTTAACTCAGTTTCATTTTATTTCTTGATTTTGTGTTTCCAAATACTTTTAGTGTAGCTATTAGATATATAAATTTAAACATTAAAAATAATTTATTTGTTATTCAGAATGATTTAATTTTTCCCGCGTGATCCTTAAATTTGAAATAAGATACATTAGTTGGTACCAAAGTAGTACAATTTATGTAAAAAGAATCAAATTTAATAAAGTTGAAAGAAAAAGTTTAGCCTAATGTCTACCCACACATTTGCTCAATTTAGCTTCTAAACTAAAAAAAGTTTAAATTCGCACCTTATTTTTTTAAACTTCAAACTTCATTTTCACAGCTAAACACCAGGTTAATTGCCACGACACCCGATAACAGTTTACGTGGAAATGATATGTCCAAATAAACTCTTGAACTTGTCAGAGTTGTTTAGTTTACCCCCTTGGTGCACTGGAGGGGACTTGAATACCATAGCTGATCATAATGAACATTTAGATTCTACGGTGCCACATTTAAGCAGTTTGGTTGAATTCAAGGATTGTACACCAGCATGTGAGCTCATTGACTTACCCTATAATGGTCCTAAATTTACTTGGACTGGGGTTAGGTCAAAAGAAAGACTTTGGAGAAAACTTGACACGATTCTTTTCAATAATAGATTTATTAATTCATTTGATCTGATTAAGGTGGATATCCTGAACAAAACCCCCTCCTCTGATCACAACCCAATTCAAGTATAGTGTGGGCATAAGGGTGTTTCTTGACCTAAAGCTTTTAGGTTTCAGAATATATGGCTTTGCCACCAGTTCTATGGACAAAGTTAGAGTATGCTGGCAGAATCATAATTTTGGCAGAGGGATGACGGGCTTGGTTGCTAAACTTCAGTATCTCAAAAAGAGCTTAAAACTTGGAATAAGGAGGTGGTTGGTAACATCTTTGATGATACAAAAAGATGTGAAAATGAGGTTCTAAAAGCTAAAATGGATTATGAAGATGACCCTTGTGATGCTAGGCTTGAAGACTGGTCATTAAAAAAAGCTCTTTTGATTTCTAAACATAAAACGAAAAGAAGATTTTGGAAACAAAAAGCCTATCTTAACTGGTTGAAGGGTGGGGATTCAAATCCTCATTCATTTGTCAAAATAATAAATATAAAGAATCAGATTTCTTCTATTCCAATGAGCAAGGGAATGAAATAACCGATCTACCTGGGATAGGTAATGCTCCTGTGGAGTTTTTTCCAATCTTTATTCTCAAGAGTATGATATTGATGCTTCCAACATCCTGCAATTTATTCCTGAGTTAGTAAATCACGAAGATGATGATATGCTAATGAAGCTACCTACTGAGGATGAAATCAAGAAGGCAATTTGGGGTCTTAATCAGAATGGTGCTTCAAGGTATGGCCAGTACTCTAGTGGTGTTAATTCCCAAAAAGGACAATTCTTTTGCAGATTGTAGGCTCATATGTCTTTCGAATTTTATTGCTAAAGTCTGTACCAAGGTATTAGCAGCTAGACTCTCAAATGTCTTGCCTAAGCTTATATCACAGGAACAAGTAGGTTTCATGCAGGCAAGAGACATTTCAGATCAAATCCTGATTCTTCATGAAATGATACATTCCGTTGATAAGAAGGTCAGGGGCTCTAATGTGAGGATAAAATTGGATATAGCCAAGGGCTTTGATAGGGTTTTTTTGGAAATTTCTAGAGTATCTTTTGCTTAAATTTGGCTTTGCTAATCACTTAGTAAATTTGATTCTGAATAATCTCCCGGCCACTTTTTTTCAATTGAGATTAATGGAGTTGCCCAAGGCTTTTTCAAACCTAAAAGAGGGGTCATACAGGGTGATCCCCTAGCTCCTTTTCTCTTTATTTTAGCTTTTGAGGCTTTTTCTAGGGGTTTGAAATGTTATAATCAGGAAGGTCTTATTAATTAAACCTTACTGGATGGGAGATGTGAGAAATCATCTCACATTTGGATTTTGCGGATGATTTACTCATATATATCAATGGGGAATCTAGATCTCAACTGAATCTAGACATGCAATTAACTTAAAGAAGAGATCTTTCCTGTGTGGTAAATCATCTACCGGTAGGGGCAAGGTTATTCAGGAAATGCTGGGTATGACCGAAACTACACTACATGTTAAATACCTGGGAGTCAATCTCCATAAAGGTATAAATAGATATCAGTATTGTGAGCATCTTATTCATAAATTTGATGACAAACGTGCAGCTTGGAAACAGAATAACCTTTTTGAAGGGGCAGATTAGTGCTTATAAAAAATGTGCTTAATATAGTGCCAGTTAATCTTTTAGCTGCTGATACCTTACCTAAGAAGATTATTACTATTTTGGAAACTAAAATGTCCTCTTTCTTTCTGTAATCCTCTAGTAACAAACCTAAATTTCACTGGATGAGATGGGCTAAGATTTGTAGGCCTACTGAGGATGGAGGTTTATGTATAGAGCTTTAACTGGTGTTGAAAAAGATTTTACTATTAAGCTTTGGTGGAAATTGAAAATTGACAAGTCTCTTTGGAACTCTTTTATTAATGCTACATACCCAAGAGATAATATGATTCCTAGAGTTACCGAATCTAGGGGTGAGCAAATAACCGATATAACCGGTGTAACCGACTACCGATAACCGAACCGAACCGTAAATATTTTTTTCGGTCGGTTATCAGTTATTATTTTTTAAGAATATCGTTTTTTCGGTTTTTCGGTTATTTTACGGTTTTCATTATCGGTTATCGTTCGGTAACCGATAACCGCTATACAACCTAATAAATTATAAATTAATAATACTCTATACTCATGCTAATTACTAATAATATAAAATCTCCAAGGCCCTAAAACGTAACCCATAGCCCACTAACCCAGCCCCATTTGTATGGAGCACTAAAACAACTCGAAGCACTAAAACACTAAAACGTAACCTCGATTACTTCAGATTCCAGAAGCAGCAAACCCTAAATAACGAATGATGAAATACGAAGTCATGAAGCGGCGTTGAGCATCTGGATAGTGGAGAAAGTGGAGATTGATGGAGGGATTTGAGGTGTGGGACTGTGAGAGGATGAAATACGAGATACGGAGATACTGAGATCATCTAACTTTATTGCCAGCTTTGTTCTTTACTCTTTAGTCCGTAATTACTTCGTATAGGTGATACAGAGGTAATCTCATCTAACTTCGTTAATTCGGTACCTATTTAGTTTTCTTCTCCTGTTCTCCATTCCTTAATATGATATATATCTTCTATGTTTCAAATTTCAATCGAATCCATCTGTAGCAAAGTCAAGAAGCTGAGTCTTAGGTAGTTAATTTGTACTGAGTTAGTGGTTGATTGATATTACATGTTATAGTAACTTAAATCAAAAGTAATGTGTTAGTATGTTATATTACTTGTAACTGGTTAGCTTCTTTTATTTGCACATTAAGTAGTTATTAGTTATGGTTGCTAAGATATGCTTATTCAATATGTTGGGGGATGAATATGACATTTAATATTCTAGGGTCTTCTGCTAATTTAAGTGCTTGTTCGGATATGGTAGATCAGAATCTTAGCAAAGATGATACCTACGGAGTACAATTTTAGTTATTTTACTATATAATAACTAATGCACACTTTCATAAAGTGATATCTTATTATCTTAACTAATATTAATATAGTTTAAG